CAACTGGGACACACCCACTTTGGATCTTAGCCCAGTGCTTCACATGCGGCAAGTTCAAACAAGGAAGCGTCGAAAACATGGGGCGCCCCGTTTCCCAGAGTTTGGCCCAGAAAACGGATACTCAGGAGGCTTGAAAAAACAGCTGGTTAATTGGACCTCTGAATGTTCAGCCACAGTTGGACGACCTTCCAGGCGCCGCTCATGTCTTCGTGGGGCCACTTTGGTGCCTGTTGAAATGGTCATGGCTCAAAAAATGCAACGAATCAAGCCATCTGACAGCTTCAATACATTTCATTTAAATCAACCATAGTTGGGATTCTGTGGCTTTGACAAGCACAGTCCCGTCTCATTCTAGAAGCTTCTTGATATTTTCGTGGCTGTCCCAAAAAACAAGACAAGACAACGCCCTATTTTGGCTCAACATTCAACCATGAGCCAACCGTTACCAAATTCACCCCTTTTCCTTTGCCAAAAAGCCACCCTTGGGAACCCCATGACATCCCATGACCCATGGCCCACCATGGTTGGATCAACTTGTCTTTGAGCCATGTCCGGACCATGTCGCGTGACATCACTGCAGGATATGTTTGGAAGGCGCTACACCTCGGACTTCCAGGAGAGATACTTTAGGCAGTCCTTAAAACCACGTCCCCCTTCATATTCAACACGCCCCAGAAACCATGGTTTAATGGGGGCTTGAAAAACGTACTTGGGATCATTTATGTATATGATTATATGTGTATATATATATAAGGGGTGTTTCATGTCATATAGGAGAATGGAATTATTTCCAGAAACCACGCTGAGATAGAATTGTCTTTTCTCCCGGGGACGTCATCGATGATGTTCACTTGGCAAATTTTAAGCTTTCAAACATGTTCGATCTCTTGGGGGGGCTGCTGTAAACCACGTGGCGTAACTATCCTTTATGATGCAGGCTTCGGTCGGCCAATCACTTGCCGAAATGTTTTTTTCACACATGTGGATACCCGGTAAAAGTAGGTGGGTAGCACATACCCTCCTGTAAACTAACATAGATGCGGAAAACGTACCGTTTGTAGATCATTTCCCAGAAAAACCGTGGGTTTTTCCACATCTATGTTAGTTTACCCCAGGGGATCCCCACAAAAAAGGGTCAAATAAAGAACTATCAAACTACACCTCCAATGGATAGACCAAGTTTTCATGGGAGTCAAAGAACGAGCCGGAGCCGGATGTCCATGCCCCAATGGATCAACCACCAATACCAGGATTTGTTTCTGAAAGTTTTGAAATCATGGGTTGCGCAATAGCCTACTTACCTATCTTACCTACTTGTGGTTACATTGGTTACATGTTGTTAGATACCTGTTGTTGCATAAAGCCTCCATATGTAGTAAGTTCTTCATAAGCCTGATTGGAAAGTCCCAATTCTCACCGGTATCCCATTGATGGGCTTTAAACACTGTGGGTTTGTCTGGAAATAGGCTACCCCAAATTTGCTGCTTACCCATACTTATCGCCATTGCCATGCTGGCGGCATATCCAATCCTCAGACAAACCCAAATATATCCCATCATATTGTGGGTTCGGTCATATCCCATGGATCAATGGATATCCCAACGCTATCCAATTATAACATTGCTTCCCTAGGTTTGATGGTGCAATCTAGTAAAGTCCCTATGTTTGATGGGTTTAAATCATCATTTTTCCATGGTAAAATTTGGTGAAACGATCATTTTGATGGTTAAATCAAAATTTGTTGATGGTATAAGGATTGATAGTCAGAGCACAGTTTTAAATGCCTAAATCACCTTGCTTGATGGTTACTTACTCAGCGGGTGTCCCTCACCCCAAAAAAACTGAACTTACCATTGGGTCCGCGCGCGCCTCGCCAAGTGTAGTTTTGGGGTATTTAAAAGCGCGCGCGGACCCAATGGAACAAGTTTATATAAAGTGTAGCTGCTGGCTGAATAAGTTTAAAACCACATTGTTACCTGGTTGGTGGTTTCAACCCCCTCTGAAAAATATTAGTCAATGGGAAGGATAATCGCATATATGAAATGGAAAATAAAAGTCATGTTTGAAACCACCAGCCAGATAGATAGATATATATATAATTTTTGGAAATTGCCAAGTTGATTTTCCCATTCAAAATTGTGATTTTCCATAGATATTCTATGAGATTCCCAATAGAAAAAACTAACCATATAAAAAACTTACCATTTTCAGACACACCGAGCACTTCCGCAAGTTTCCAAGTCGTGGACGTTACCCTCCTCCCCACTGAGGAAGCCCACAAGCGCGGTGGCTAACGTAAGCTATCGTAAGCTGGCCTCGAAAACACCGTAAAAAAACAGGGCAATTCATAGGGGTTCACAGCGATTCAACAGGATAAGTGTAATTTAATCAAAGGAAAAGGATGACGTAACAAGAAACATGTGATTTAATTATGATTTTGATTTAATGAAGAAAAATCGTTGTTTAACCACATACACATTGATATGATAAAGAGTTCATGGGAATTTAAAAGGGATTTCTGACAATGAGCCTCCAGCAAATTACCATAGACCTGAAAACAAAACAATTTTCGTCTAAAGTAATCTTCCAGCACCCCTTTTGGGGAGTCGATGTCAATTTTTCGGGAGTTTTGTCGGATCAAGATCCAGCTGGTTGTTTGGTTACGTTCGTTTACCCCGGACGAAAACACGTGGTCGAATGATTTCCACTTGATATGGATGGCCCAAGATCTTGAAAACTTTGCAATGATTTGGATGTTTGAACCAGTGATTGGCACAATGATTAGTTTAAATATATGGATATGAGTTCATGTTTGATCCCATCAATCGGACACAGACTTGCAAGTCCGATGATGCGATTTAGAGGAACTAATAATCTAAGGCCTTTCTGTAGCATCCTCTTCTTGGTTTCATAAGACTTCCTAGACAAAGAAAAAGAACAGTTCCTAGCTTGAAAAGAACCCTAAGGGTGTCCTACCAAACTTCAGCTTCAATATCTTCAATGGGTTGGTTTCAGGGAAATTCATCCGGGAACTACTTTCTGTTGGTGGAAGCTGCCAATCTAAAAAAACAAATGTGGGATCATCAACAGGGATGGGGCACTTATTTTTTTGAACGACCAACTAAATAAGAAAGGGCCTACGCATACAAACGCGCAAAATAAAGTAAATGAATAATATATATATATATATATACGGAAATAAACAATGATAAATACGCATAAGTAAATAAATACATAAACATCGAATCATAAATAAATGTGCAAATATTCATATAATATCAGAAATAACTATAAAAAACAAAAATACACACATATATATATATAACCATAGAATATATATATATGTATATATATATATATATGTATGTATGTATGTCTGTATGTATGTCTGTATGTCTGTATGTCTGTATGTCTGTATGTCTGTATGTCTGTATGTCTGTATGTCTGTATGTCTGTATGTCTGTATGTCTGTATGTCTGTATGTCTGTATGTCTGTATGTCTGTATGTATGTATGTATGTATGTATGTATGTATGCGAACAATATATATATATATGCACAGTTGTTTGCATACGTAAAATGGATCGATTTAATGGGAACGCACGGGGAACCATGGTTTTGACCCCCCGGTGTGGCAAATTAAGGGGTTTCGTCGGCAGCCCCCAGCCATTTTAAGCCGCTCTGGGGATCCCTGGCTCCACTCCTGCGGTTTGTGACGGGGTCACGTGGTTGTCATGGCTCTATGTTTGACATGTCTTGGTATCATGGTGGTGTTGTTATTCACTATCATAGTTGGTTGTATATTCCTTGTGTATTTTGTGGTGGTGATGATGGTGATGGGGGCGTCTGAAAATGGGGTATGCCCCAAAGAATTGCCCTAATGGGACAAATTATGATTCACCAGGACTGGACCAGTGGCTTTAGGGGTTCCCTTTTTCAGTTCGATCCTCATCCTCCTGGTGGTATCAGCTACCATGTGGCGGTACTGTGGATCAACTCCTCTGCTCGTTTCCGTCCATCTGAAACAAACAGCCACTGGCTGGTGCGTCATCCCCGTCATCGCTAAAGTCGTACAACAAGTCGTACCAGTGCAACAATGCAAAGTGGTGCTCTCGTTCGTCTTGGCTAGGTTGGTTTTCAACAAGGCTGCTTACGGGTTGTGGAGGATTGTTCTAATATCAGTTGGATTCCCTTTTTTCTCACCAACTTATACGCTGAGCGCATCACATTCCCTCAACACCTCATATGTTCTGAGGTTGCGGCCCATCTTCCACAGAATTCATCACCAACTGCAGCGGATGCGAAGTGCAATGGAAGATGTCGGGCGGGGTCTGGTCATGTTACATATATTTATGGTCCATCCGGAACTGAGAGAAACCGAAAGAAATCGAAAATCAATCATGTTCTGAGTGGCGGTTGAGCCACTGGCATGGCAAAAGAACATCCAAGAATATGGAGGTTTCCTAAAGTAGGGGCACCCCCCAAATCATCAAGTTCGATGAAATGTTCAATTATAAACCATCCATGTTGGGGTACCACCCATTTCAGGAAACCTCCATATGAATATTAAATGAAAATGGATCATCAATGCAGGAGGAGATGGACAATAGAAAGAAACCACACAGCAGAATAGCAGGCGCATGCACTGGCGGACATCTCATGGCGGGAACTCGAAATGTGGCAAGTCGTTGGGGCACCCAATGGGCCCACAGGTGTATGGTTCACTCCAACTATCTGAGTACGTTAGGGTGAGTCCAATTATTTCACTGGTGTAAACTAGCACACCATGTTCCATTAAATCATATACCCTCTGGTAAACTAACATAGCTATGGAAAATAGCCCATTTATAGATGGTTCACCTATTAAAAATTGTGATTTTCTATAGCTTTTTGTATGTTTACCAGAGGGTATTCTGTCCCATTAAATCCATTCATCCCACTCGTCACTATTCCCGTCATCAACCACCATGGGCCAATAGCTTTTCCCAGCGCCCCACGAGCCTCGTCCCGGTCTAGGGTCACCATTCGCTCGTGAGCCACCTGCCCCGGCTTGAAGGGCAACAGTGAGGGGCTTGCGCTTATTTGGATGGGAGAAAACGATGTCTTGTCATTTGGGTGGGTATTGAATGTGGAAATGAGTAAAAGTGAGGCCTTTCAAGCGGCTGCTTTGTGAATCTTCAAAAAAGCTCCCCATCTCCAATGGATGTCTAACAGCTTGCACTGCATTTACTTGGGCGCTCCTGATGCAAGTGGGATACGCTAATGGTGGAGCGCACCCCTCACAGAACACAGCCACTACACTATTAGAGGATCATTGGGTCATCTTCCATGGTCCAAGGCGGTTCATCCATGTTAATCCCAACCACATGTCGCCCATTGATAGGTCTGGTATGGCGGATTAAAATCCACCTCTGGCTTTTTTCAAATCCAATTCTTGCACACGTGTTTTTGTGAAATTCCAATGTTTGAAAAGACACATGCCACATTTATTTTTGGATCGTTCATCCTAAAAATCTGCTTTTTGGAAGTTTTTGTTCATATTCTTCCCATGTTTTCCCGCGAAGAAACCACCATTTTCCCATCCCACCTCAGGTTGTGGTGACCGGGCGGGCGTCGGCGCAGGTTCTTGAGGGGTGTCCTATGAAAGCACTAAGGCTGGGCCCGAAAATTTGGGAGACCTGAACACGTGCAATTTCATTGGGAAAGGGGCCCCATAGTTGGCTAAGTTGGCGCAAATATAAAACTAGGTTAGCTGTTGGGGTTATAGGGGATAACGAGTTAGTTAGATGGGGTTATAGACCAGCTTAATACAGAAAGGGGGGCCTTTCTTGTATGGAAAATAATGATAAACCAAAGGATTTACTGTAGGGGTATCCTGTTTTCAAACAATCCCGTATATATATATATATATTCTGTCCACATTAGACTTGAGAACCTTTACGGCACATTAACTACAATATATGTATATATATATAGTTGTTTGTATGTCCAAACCAGATTTGTCTGAACATATATAACTAGGTTTGTCTGAAATTAGCATGCCCAAACAAACAACACCTCTTTCATCAGAATCTTCCCAATTTAAATTGCGATTTTGGAGGTACAAGGTGGTGCCCCCAAGATAGCTAAGTTGGTTTTTAACTCCAATGACTATGGTTTGTGTTAGATATATCTATACTTGCTATGGTTTATGAAACCACTTATAACTGGGGGGGCACCACCTTGTATATCCCATTTTCACTTGCATCCATATCACCAGACTTGGGCTGTGGGATGCTCCACTCCAGACCATCATGGTTCGGTGTTGAGGATAAACTGGTCAAGAAGGAACAACGATATGTAACATAGTATGGTTTGTTGCATTCTCACTTACCAGTTACAAATGACCGTTTATGTATCATTTATGCAACATAAATGAATGAAAGAATGATATGTAGCTATCCAAACAGGGGGAAATATTCGATTCATGAGCAAATATACCAGGAAGTCGAGAAAGTGACCCACAAGAATTGGCTTTGAACTCAAACAGATTGGAATGATGGGATCCTTTCTGTCCGGACCGCCGCATTGTGATCTTATATTATCTCATTGTCTCGTTTCCATGCTGCGGCTTGAAGTCATTTAAAGATCCACCAAAGTGGTCAGTCACTGGCCCGAAAAACATCTTCTTTTTGATGTTCAATTTCTTTTAACCTATTTTGACCGAATTCGTTTGTCTCCAACCCTGCATCAGGATTTTTCTTAATGCACAATACTCATCTTTGGTGGCGGATGTTATCCAACCTTCCAACTCATACAGTAAAAAATTCTCCGATCTTTAGCTCGAAAATGCTTCGTCATGCTTCCTCGCAAAAGTCGAGGAAAATACGTAGAACACGGAGTCGCCAACATCGAAGGCCACATGGTGGTGAACTAGCTCGAATTTTTATGGTGTGGCGCCGATCAAACCCCAATCATGAATAGGGTACCCTCTGGTAAACGTTTACAGAAAACTATGGAAAGATTCACCATTTTGACTGGGTAAATCAACTATAAATATGGCAATGTTCAATAGCTATAGGCTATGTTAGATTACCAGAGGGTAAGTAGGAATAAGATGGGTTAAGCCACTTCCAACTGTGAAGATCTAGATCTCTCTGGCCCACCTGCCAGAAAGGTTCTGGATCAGCGCCAAAGGGCGAGAAGATGGGCTCCACCTTAGAAATGGGATGATACAAGGTAGTTATCTAAGTTGGTGCAAATACCTCCAATTTCACTATAGTTTATGTTGATTTATAACTCCAATACCTATAGTTTATAGATGTTTATAGGTGATACATCTATAGTTTTGCTGGGCTTATAAGCAATTTATAACTGGGGGGCACCACCTCGTAGGGATGATCATAGCCAAATTGTAGGCAGTTCCAGGGCTGTTCCTACTAGGTTCACCAGCTGGAATCTGCCGAGCCACACTGGTGTTGTTCATGGCGTTGCGCAATGCCAAGGATTGTGGCGATGTCTGCGCAGCCGGGTTAAGTTGGTTATACTTAGGTTAAATGGTTTTAATGCAATGTCTATAGCTCTACAGTCAGTATTCCATCAGTGTTGGTCCCAGCACCCCAGATATCTTTTGAGGGAAAATGAGTAGATGCGGACGTAAAATTGCCAATCTCAAGCACGTGTCCTCCTTTGTGGCTATCATGCACCTATGATTGGTTGGAGAACCCCTTGTCTATCTTGCTGAAATCTAATGCTTCACCCACAGGGAATTCTGCGATCTAGGTTCTTCTGGCCAGTAACCATCGGCGACATCATTGGCAGGTCATCATTACTCACCAAGGTCTTACTAGTGGGAAAACTAACTATGCTTGTGAACCAGATATCATTTGGAATGTGCCATGAAAAGGGCGGCATTCACATGGTTGTTGGAGATGCCATATGATTGGCACATCTAGGCAGTGACGTTATACCAGCACCATGGAGAGTGTGGTCTAGGGATTGGTTGGATGGCAGCCCTAAGCTTCGATGCCCTAAGAATGATCAACTACTTGCATCTACTTGGCCGTTTCAACCCCCTGAAAATGTGAAAGTCATTTGGAGTCATCATCCCAAGTAGGATGGAACATACAACATGTTTCAAAAGACCAACCAGTCAATATCTGCGCTCCCCTGAGCCTGAAAAAAATCGTGGTTCACCCCGAAAATCGCTTGTGGCTTGGTTCATCCCGGTTCTAATTCGCCACTTACCCTACTGGAGTCCTATACCATTTCTGAATGATTAATCGCATTTAAATTTTCTAATTATTTCTTTTTATCTGGATCAATTACAACGACTTCACCATGACGTCCAGTAAATGCCTGCCCGGCGGAGCGGATGTCTTGGATGTCTGGATCCGGTTGGCTGGAAGGTGTTGCCGGTGCCTGCCATAGTAGGGATGGTGCTGTCCCCCAGTTGATGTTTGTTGGTTTCTAAAGCATAGGAATAGTATAGATATATCTACTGTAAACCATAGAAATAGTTGATTTACCTCTTAAAAATGATGATTTTCCATAGTAAATATAGATATGTCTATCATAAACCATAGTGAAATTTATTGGAGTTATAAACGCATGAACTTAGCGTTCACGAACTGGGGCACCACCTTGTAGGGATGGAATAGGATATTTATGGGATATAGCCAACAAAAGAGCATGATGATTGAAGCAGTGGGTTTTGGGAATTGTGAGGGCACCCTATTTGCAAACAAACCACCTTATTCATTGGGGACAGTTTAGTGTGCAGTTCTAGGCAGAAAGATTAAGAAGCAGGTATCAGGCATTTCTCGCCATAGTTAAAGGGGGTATTTCATAAGTTGTGGTGGTTACAACCATAACTCATCTATCCTTGACTTTGGGTCTATCCACCATATATGCAGTCGTTGGCCCAGGATTTCATTTGACCTCGTCCGCAGACATGATGGCTAGAGCCAACAAATCATCAGAACATATGGAACATCTAACGCTGGTGGCCAAAGCATGTTAAAACCAAAACTCCTCAACAACAATGGCAAACAAAAACATACTCACGGCGATGAAGCAAGCAAACTTATGGAGGTATCAACCCAAACTGGGCGGGTTTCAGAGTTTAACAGATTTTAAGAGTTTAGATTCAATAAACATCAACAAACTGATTCTTTGAAAGGTCGCACGGATGGAGCACCTCGCGCCCTCATCGGGCATTGCCCAATCAACTCAGGGGACTAGGTCGGGCCCAAGTCGTGACACCAACTGAGGGGAGAATTTGTGCGTGAGCGAAGGAGAAAGCGCCCAAGGCAACACATGTAAAGTTACATTTACACAAGTAGAAATACTTACTGGTGCTAAACGTAGGGAATGGATGGGTTGCTGGGGGTTGCTGGGATGATTGTTACTAGTGATTTATGGATCATTCCCTCATTCCCCACGTTTAGCACCAGTAAGGCTACCAAGCCAGCCGTGGACGGCCTCCGCATCTGGCTCCTGGAGGTTCAGCGGCTGTGGATTGGTTTGATATGCTTTTTTGCAGCCCCCAAAAATATCACACAATCCCTATAGATTCCCCAGATGGGTTCTTTCATTTGGTTTGACAGCAAAATAATCTTAAGCCCAAGACTGTGTTGGGGGAAAAACCAGACGTTAGTCGTCGCTTCTGGGTTGGATCCGGGCGTAAAGAAGTCACATTTGCCAACGACCATGATGTCCCTCAACCAGGATTCATGGGCACCACGCCATCTCCGTTCCCGTCCTGAACGGCATCCCTGAAGCGTCGGTGAATGGGTCATGAAAAAAAGGGCATCTGATCGGTGTCCCACCGGTGACTCATGCCAGTTAGCGCGATGGGCTTCTAACTCCGGTGAAAAGTAAGGCAAGTAGGGTTAGTCCAGTTATGACTGGAGTTAAAGCCCACTTACTAAATGGGATGAAACACCAATAGCTGACGTACGCGCGGAATCATTACAATCATTTCCATGGGTTGCTTTGATTATTGGGGTGTTAAACCTTCATGGAGCTTCATATGGTAGATACCACCCTTTTTGGGTATGGTTTTGACACCCCCTAAACATGTGAAAAAATTGTACATGGGGCATGGTTCACTATTAACTTTACCACATTCTTACCCTTTGATGATCATGTTCCTCACTCATAGATATTCATTGACTTATAGAACGTTAATGTGGTAAAGATATCATATTCATACCCTCACTTATAGATATTTATTGACTTTTGCCATTTAAATGCCAGTTTATGGGTGATGTCCCAGCCAGCCATGTTTGTTTTTTCCGAAGGCAATCTGTGGGACGTGAGCTCCATGGTTTTATCCCGCGGAAAGCCAACGTAGAAATTAGTGGAATTTCCGCATTGTTTGTTGGTTTCCCCCAGGGGTAAACCCACTTTGTTTATCAGTCTCAAGGCTTAAATCTACCAATTTTGGTTGGTAAAATCACTCATACCATGAAGATAATTGTTATATATGTCATGCCCATTTTGATTAGATATGCCTATCAGATCCCGATCAACATGGGAAGATGGGATGATGGGTAGCCCCACTAGGCGGTGGCCCCATTAAGTTTGATGGATTAGAACCCCATGTGCGTATTTAATCACAACATCCGCCAGTTAATCTAGTTGTAAGCCACCAAAACAACTTACCCAACCAAGACCCATGGGAATAAAGGTTGGAACTTTTTCTTGTTCTGGGTCCGCGCGCGCGCGCCACCGGGCTAGCCAAAGAAAGATCAAAGTGGCGCGATAAATCCCGCTAACATACGATAACATCCAGACAAAATCCCAATTTTTCTTGGTTAAATCGCCCTTGGATCCCATGAAATGCCTATTTTTCTTGGTGATTCACATCTGGTCGGTGAAACCTGCTGAAGCCTGAAAAATCCGACAACTGAGGGATCGGCTCGTCTAGCATGTGCACCTCAGGGCCGCTGCGGGATCGGCCTAGCAAAGATGTGATTGAAAATGGTGATTGAATGGTGATTTTATGGGAATTCAGTTGTGTTTTAGTGGGTTTAATGGTGATTGAATGGTATTTGATGGTGGTTCAATGGTGTTTAATAGGAATTTAATCAACTATCGTGGTGGTATAATGGGGATAAACACTGGAATATGCATGGGATATATAGTAGGTATAAGCATGATAGTTAAACCCCTGTAAGTTGGGATATAACCCCCACAGCAGCAAAATATAACCACTGACACTGACCACTGGAACTGCACTCTCAAGTAATTCCAAGCCCACATCTGAAATCAGGAAACAGCCCCGTTTACGATAGCCAAGTTGACGCACATAACTTGCTGAAAACTGTTGGGTTTCTCAGGAGCATAACTTTAGTAAATTGGTGTACCAACTGACAACTAGGGGGCCTCATTTCGTATAAACGGACCATAGGATTTTTAGATTATCCACACGTATGCAACGATGATTATCTATATGCCTAGAATCTTCTTGTCGCCAAAATCATGTATACATAAATGTAAATATATACATACTGAATATGTACAAATATAATTGGTTGTGGGGTAAATTACGCGCTATCGTTGAAGATTGTAAAAGTCTTGGCTTGCCCATAGACGCTGTATCTTGGCCATAAAATCCTGCATCTTTCCAGCCGTCTCTGAGTGTTCCTAGCAGGTGTGAGCACTTGCCGTTTGCGGATTTGCCAAATGACCTCAGTGCAAAGGCGCAGTTACACGTACACCCGAAAACAAACTAGATCATGAGTTTATTAGCTTATCTACCCTCATGTAAATCAACAAAGATGCGACAAACAAAATCATTTGCACATCATTTTTCCGAACTTTTTCTACCTCTTTATGTATGTTGAACCCCAGGCCCCAGGGCACCGCAACTGAGCTCTCCCGACCAGTGCTGCACATGCCCCGGCGGCCATTATGCCCACCACGGCAGCGATGACATTGATCACTACCATGGGATTACCCTCCTGGGAATGCCCGGGTCATCGTGGCACACTTCCCATAGATGATGTTGCTTTCCCATTGAAGCTGGGAATTTCCCATTGCCAGCTTCACAACCAGAGGCTACTACGCAGCAAGGCTCAATCTGGAATCAACTTTGAATTACTTGGCACAATCTCCGGTAATCTTGCCCCAAAAATCAAATCCTGCCCAAATAACTTCCCTCTGTTTTGAACATGTCTTATCTAAACTGCAGGCAGATGTTGCTTTCCCATTGAAACTGGGAATTTCCTATTGCCAGCTTGACAACCAGGGGGTAATTACTGCAAATGCATCGTCAGCAAGGCTATATATAGCTTCCCTATGTTTTTGACATGTCTTATCTAAACTGCAGGGCAGATTACCGTTTTTGATGAGAAAATCGGGTAGGTCGAGGAAAAAATGTTCCGCTAAGATCCAAGGCTTTACTATTGTGATTTTCCACATTCACATGGCACTAAGCTGGGGGAGGGTATCCTTGGCGGCCCCTGCAGTCCTCGGTGTCAACGTTCTCGACCGCCACATAGGTTACCGACACACGCGGGGTCTGTGCGAAACGCGGAACACCCAGCATGGCTCCAAGTTGGGGGCCCAGCTTTACACAATTCTTTGGGTCCTACTTGGGTCCTGTCTGGCAGTACGCCAACAAAATTTGACCCCCAGTTATAAGTTGGTTTATAACCACCATTAAAAATAGATATCTACGCATCTACTATAAACCCAAGCTATTGGCCAACGTAGCGTGAACAGCTCACTGGGGCACCACCTTGAACCAACTCCTTTGGGTGATCCATACCCTCGGGTGGCATGTTGGGTCTCCCCAAAATTGCCACAGCTTTACCAGAATGGATGAACTTTACTACCTCACAACCTCCACGTTTCCGACTTTTTGGTTTCAGTTGCTCATGAATTAATGCAATAAATTAATCCAAGCGTATATAAGCCAGCACACTAACCAACAATTTCGGAGTCATTTTGTATCATCCAAAACATGGGCATATCCAATGCCAAACCCCAATTTAAATACAATAATGTAGCAGTGTCCAAAACCCGCCGTCATACTGTTTCTTTTGGTCGATGGAGGTTCCTATGATATGTCTATGACGGGTGATTCAAAACCCACCAAAAAAAACGGGTAGCATACCTTCCAGTAAACTAACATAGCTCTGGAAAATCTTCGCTTAGTTCGATATTATTCCCAGCTATAAACCTCCATGGGTACCGTACTTCGAAATTTTCCAGCTTGCTGTTTCTGGTTACCACACGCTTTATAATATTCCAACATATACTCATCAAAACCATCAATCTTGTTGGCAGTTAAATCATGTTAATCTCATTAAATCATCATGTTTGAGGACACAGAAAAGCATATCCCCACTGAAAATCATCTTTACCCCACTCTATCAGCATTTTTGGATGGTTAAAACCATGTCAAAGCCATTTTTGGTAGTTTTAGTGAATTAAAATATACCATGCCATACCATACCATCATTAAAAAGCCAGGGTGAACTGGCTAGTGCTTGGGACTGCTTGCTGGCTGCCCTTCCTCGACGTGCTTGACGACTACGCCTTCGGTCTGAACCGCCTGGCAATGCTGTGGAAGATTCTTGGTGAATCTTAAAGGATGGTGCCCAATGATGTGAACGTTGCTTTATAAACCCATTTCTGGTTGGTGGTTGAGCCCTACCCCTCTGAAAAATGATGGAGTGAAAGTCAGTTGGGATTATGAAATTGCCAACTGAATGGAAAAATACATTCATGTTCCAAACCACCAACCAGAATAGTTTGTTATATCTACCATAAACCATAGATTTCAGCCACTTATGAGGCAAGTGGCTAATACAACTTAGCTATCTTGGGGAAAAATCCTTTCGATTCACCTTAGATACCTCTCAGAAATCTAATTCCTAGCTGGTGAGTACATCTTACCATTGATAGCGAAATAATCGAAATATTAAAGTATTAAAGTATCTAACCAAGGTTGTCCCAGAATATGGGAAACCAATGGAAAACATAGCTACCATTTGTTTCGGAAAATCTATTCGGAGCTCTTTTGCTCCCACGTCAAAGCAAATATATAGGAAAGATGGAAACCCATAGCTCCGTAGCTCCTTCCTAACAGCTGATTAATTTTCCCTCCTCATAAAAAGTTGCAAGACATGCCCAATAAATTTGACGTATTGGGATTGTGCAACAGTTTGGAACAAACAAAGCCCATATTGTTGGCAAATATGGCATCCATGTTTGGTTCAATTCAAGACATTGATTTTTGTGGCTTAACTCCACGCATCAAACATCAACATAAAATCAAAAACCGGCAACAACCAAAAATAAATCATCAACAGCTAAGAAAACACAATTTGTTACCAAAATAAACATGGGGTGGTGTGTGTCCGAAAATAGGATATATCCTCCGAATGGCCAAAATTTCATAGGAAACATTGGGTCAGCATCAAATCTTGGGCTACCGGCCTGGGCTGTAGCCTTCAGGAGAGCCATCCCTTGAGGATCCACTTGGGAAGCTTCCTGACATCGGCTCGTCTTAAACTCCGCCAAAAAGATCCAAGGAGATTTCCTATAAAATTTTTGGGCACCCCCAAATCATCCAAAATTTGACAATTTTAGTATTGACACCCATGGTTTTGGGGTATCACCATTTTAGCAAACCTCCATGTGGATACTGGGAAAACCCCGTTCGGAAAGTGATCTACATGGTGGGTTAAGCCCATAATGTTGTGGGTTTCCCCTTGCAAGTTTAGAAAGAACATGTATGGAACACTTATTTGCCACAATCTTACTAGAATCTCACCGTGTTGTATCCGTTTGGAGGCTCCTGTTGGCATCTTTTTCATTGGGGCACATGGTGAAGCATGATCAACACCTTTCAAAACACAATGCGTAACATCACACGCACATAAACAAAAATCATGCTGAAGACACGGCGAGCCAAAGCACGAATCCAAATTGAGCCCGGCAAAACAAAGCCTGATAAGGTACCATGCATCCAGTCGAGGGTCCTGAAATTCCCGTCTTGAATCTCACACGGGTTCTTCAAAGTGCAGTTCCAGTTGCAAAATGTCTACAAGTGAATACATATATTTATATATGTGGTATATATGTGTATATATAAATATGTGTGTGTACAGTATATATATAAATATATGAGTCCAGACTCCGGATCCCTGCAGGCCCCCCCCCCCAATGGTATGGTCCCCCAAGCTCACGCTCTCGGGAACACGGGACAGGGGACACGGGACCATACATACATACATACATACATACAGACATACAGACATACAGACATACAGACATACAGACGTACAGACGTACAGACGTACAGACGTACAGACGTACAGACGTACAGACGTACAGACGTACAGACGTACAGACGTACAGACGTACATACGTACACGCACACACACACATATACATACATACATGCATACATACATACATACATACATACAAAAAAACATACACACATACATACATTACATTACATTACATTACATTACATTACATTACATTACATTAGATTACATACATTACATACATACATACATACATACAAACATACATACATACAAAGTATAGCAAAGCATAACATAACATAACATAACATACATTACATTACATACATTACATACATTACATACATTACATACATTACATACATTACATACATTACATACATTACATACATTGCATACATTACATGCATTGCATACATTACATACATTACATACATTACATACACTACATACACTACATACACTACATACACTACATGCACTACATACATTACACACATTACGCACATTACGCACATAACATACATAACATACATAACATACATTACATACATTACATACATTACATACATTACATACATTACATACATTACATACATACATACATACATACATACATACATTCATTACATACATTACATACATTACATACATACATACATACATACATTCATACATACATTGCATACATTACATAGATTACATACATTGCATACATTACATACATTCCATACAGTACATACATTGCATACATTGCATACATTGCATACATTGCATACATTGTATACATTGCATACATTGCATACATTGCAAACATTGCATACATTGCATACATTGCATACATTGCATACATTGCATACATTGCATACATTGCATACGTTGCATACGTTGCATACATTCCATACATGCCATACATTCCATACATTCGATACATTCCATACATTACATACATTACATACATTACATACATTACATACATTACATACATTACATACATTACATACATTACATACATTACATACATTACATACATTACATACATTTCAATACAATACAAAACAATACAAAACAATACAATACAATACACACATTACATTACATACATTACATACATTACATACATTACATACATTACATACATTACATACATTACATACATTACATACATTACATACATTACATACATTAAATACATTACATACATTAAATACATTACATACATTACATACATTACATACATTACATACATTACATACATTACATACATTACATACATTACATACATTACATACATTACATACATTACATACATTACATACATTACATACATTACATACATTACATACATACATACATTACATACATACATACATACATTACATAGATTACATAGATTACATAGATTACATAGATTACATAGATTACATAGATTACATAGATTACATAGATTACATAGATTACATAGATTACATAGATTACATACATTACATACATTACATACATTACATACATTACATACATTACATACATTACATACATGCATACATGCATACATGCATACATGCATACATGCATACATGCATACATGCATACATGCATTGCATACATTACATGCATTGCATACATTACATACATTACATACATTACATACACTACATACACTACATACACTACATACACTACATGCACTACATACATTACACACATTACGCACATTACGCACATAACATACATAACATACATAACATACATAACATACATTACATACATTACATACATTACATACATTACATACATTACATACATTACATACATTACATACATTAATTACATTAATTACATTAATTACATTAATTACATTAATTACATTAATTACATACATACATACATACATACATACAGGCACACACAGACGCACAGAGACGCACAGAGACGCACAGAGACGCACAGAGACGCACAGAGACGCACAGAGACGCACAGAGACGCACAAAGACGCACAGAGACGCACAGAGACGCACAGAGACGCACAGAGACGCACAGAGACGCACAGACAGACAGACAGACAGACAGACAGCCAGCCAGCCAGCCAGCCAGCCAGGCAGGCAGGCAGGCAGGCAGACAGACAGACAGAGAGACAGACACACAGACACACAGACACACAGACACACAGACATACATACCTATCTACCTACCTACCTACCTACCTGCATACCTGCATACCTGCATACCTACATACCTACCAGAAGAACCATACCACCACCACAGGCCACAGGGGGGGGGACCATGGGTGGGGGGGGGCTTGGGCGTCCTGGGTCATATATACATAATTATTTATGTATATATATATATATACATCTACATAACATTCAATAACTATAGTAGTTCATAGGTTATGTTCCAATTTGCGGGTAAAACACCATGGGCCATCCAGGTTCGAAGCTCAGCCTCCAGGTTTGTGCCCAAAGCACTAGCAAAGGCAAGTTGCCTTAACGCGCCAAGGCATTGAAACCTGGAAGTTTTCATCCAAACATATTATATAGTGGATATTAGTAGATTATATACATATATTGAAGATTAATGGATGTTAATGGATATATATACATATGAAGATTCATGGATTAATTTCCCATAAGCAAGACCTTCTGAAAGGATATTTGTGGATTAAAACTCGGGATATTCATGGGATATAGTCAACTTAATATGATCAACCTGAAAGTTTCACGGATGTATTGGATGAATGGCTGGAAAAGTGAAGTTTTTACATATTTTTGTCCTAGTCCTAGGGTAAGCTAATGTAGATGTGGAAAACCTATGGTTTTGAACCCTCGGAAAATCATCATCTACAGGTGGTTGATTTTCCTATGCTAGTTTACCCTAGGCGAATTAATGGGATTTACTGTCGAAGAAAATTGCTGGTTGGTGGTTTCAACCCCTCGTCAGTTGGGATGAGTATTCCCAATATATGGGAAAAAATGTTCCAAAGCACCAACCAGATCGGAATGTTCATGGGATTCAGCAGGATAGACCATCAAATCCTGAAAGGTCAATGGATGGCTTGAATGCTTGGAGAAGGCATGTTTCAAACCTGAGGCTTGAACATGGCTTCACAACCAAAAAATGGAGCCGGATGATGTCAATGGACTTGCTTGATGGGAAGCTTGGAACAATGGTGTTGTCTCCAGAGTAGCTCGGCAAATTCAACAACTTCGTCCTCGCAAATGACCTCCACCCGTCACATCGGCAGAAGGCTCGCCGAGATCAGAAGGGTCATCACCGCTCGGCTGGTTGCCGCACTGGGAGGTGGTATTCGATCTTCTCATCCTTCTCACCCTGTGGGTACAGAATTTAGGCTTTCAAAGTTCAAGGGGGTAGAAAGGCTGACAACCGATTGGATCATATTGGACCAAATTGATGACATGAGGGAATTCAACTCCGACCACGACAGTCGTGGGATGGCATCCCTGCCATCACTACCCTAATGCCTCCATGGCATCTATCAAGGAGGCCAGCCTGGTCTTCACTAATAGGGATCATAAGGCTATGCTCAACTGGTTGGCGGTTGACCTACCCCTCTGAAAAATATGAAAGTCAGTTGGGATGATGACACTCCCAATATATGGAAAGTCATAATCCAGCCATGTTCCAAACCACCAACCAGTCAAACATTGGTAAACAGTTGGGGCTTTTCCCATAAGGGATCCGGCCCGCATTTTCTCTGCGGAGACTTGAATTTGGGTGATGTCTCGATTTGGAAACTGCCCGGGAATGCATCCTAGTTCGTAAGTGGCTAACAAGTCAACAATTGCCAGGGTACATCCCAAATGGCATAGGGCATATAGCTGGGCATAGTGCGTTCTCATTGACATGATCTTTTCAAAAAATGTTGTTATAAATAAACAATCGGTATGGAACCCATATACATCCTATGTACAACCAAGTTTTTTCATCTGCTTCTTGCTCACATATTGTATGCCTGCTTATGCCTCGTTCCTCCACATCCAAGTGGTAGGCTACCACGATTTCGCAATCACCCAGCTATTGTCTCAAAAAGTCACCTTACGTTTCTGTTGTGTCGGTTACTGTTGGTAAAATGACACCGGAGGGTAGTTTCCCCTCCACTCAATTAACATAGAACCTGTTCAGGTTTGGTGGGCGACAGACCCCGGTTGCAAATGATCTGTCTTGTGCCTGATCCCCCGTTTGGTTGAGGAAATTCAACATAGCTATTGAAAATCACCACTTGAATAGTGTATAAATGGAAATAAAAGGGCCATGTTCAATAGCTATATCAATTGAGTTACCGGAGGGTAACCGGTTTAATCATTTAATCCCCTGGCTGTTGTCGAAACAATCGCTTTTTAAGCTCATTCAATCTCACTAGCACTAGCCGACTGCCGAGTGACTCTGTAGAGCCGCTACTTCCGAGGTTGGCAATCTTGCTCTTCAGACCTCTCGCAGGGGCTTGGGAATCCAAGGGTGATTTTTCCGCAGTCCACTGTGGGGGTTGGCAACTTTTAGGCGCAAAAACATCGTGTCTCATCAATCATGGGGATCTGTGAATCTTCAAGACTATGGCTGGCATCTTTTCAAGCACACCTGCCATCACTTAAAGGCAGAATTGGTTCTTCGCGAATCCGTTCGGATTCTGCATGATGCACCTGGGACTAGGTCAACGCATATCCAAGAATGAACAAAATGACCCATGTTCGGATGTCATAAAAGGTGGTGCCCCCCACTTATAAGTTGGTTTAAAAACCATAATACTAAGTATAGATATAACCCCCCATAAACCCTAGCTATTGGACTTGTAACCAGCTTAGCTAACTATGGGGCACCACCTTGTTTGATATTGATTTGAATCCAGGTTTGCCCGAACCTGGAAATACCCCAGCCAAATGGAACTTATTCCTGGCTGTAAATGATGATCAAGCATGAGATTTGGGAGTATACATCCCTGTCTTCAGACAAACCTATCTGAGCAATCCTACATTGAACACTTGACATCCCCAGTTTTTTTCCAAGTCGGACCCTGAGAATCATAAATCTATGCAGGATATATATTCATACTTATATTTGACCATATCTTCCAACCCCCAAAGTCATGGCAGGATCGTCATGTTTCGGGATGGATTAAGGTGGGCCCCCCCCTTAGGTAGCCACGTTGCAAATAACACCCATTAAGTGTAGTTATATAAGCCATGTTAAACCTACTATATACATCTATATACCATAGTTAGAGATGCACCAACTTAGCTATTGAATGGGGGCCCCACAGTGTAGAAAGAAAACTGACGGTCAGCTCATCCCAGCGATTGGGCCTGCGACTTGTGTGTCCTGAGAAGCGAGGCTATACATGACATCTGCAATGAGCTGCTTGTCATGTACGATGTCAGGGATTTTATTGATCTGTATGATTAATCTCGATACTAGGTAGTTAGAATCAAAACTAAACATGGATTTCAAGAGCTATACTTATTCTTGACATTAGACCTATGATAAAACAGAACTCATGTATAATTTATACGTTTTGATTTAATGCTAACGAGTACGTATTGATGGTTTTCGAGTCCGGATGATCACGAGGACCTAGCTGTGTTCATAACAGTTAGCGTAACAAGTGCCCTAAATCACATATATACATGGGATTCGGGATAGATACATGGGAAATGCGAAAACATGTCCAAAAAAAATGGATGTATCCCATGTACCTTGGTAACTTCCACATAACGATCCATGTCTCCTGAGGGGTCGATGTCGAGCCCTTGGTTCGCAGTTGGAAGTTGACATTCACCGCCAGGCTGGTCTTCGTCTGGGCGCCACCCGACATGAAATGACTTGGAAGCGGCTCATGAAAAAAAACATATATATTTTGAAACAAATATATAGTTAAATGATGTCAAATTCTAAAAATCTCGAGAAATCCATCATCAACTATTTTATCATAACCTTGGAAAAGCGAGAAAATCATCAACCATAATGAAAACCTTGGAAAACCATATTGGGATAATACAGTGATGATGACTCACCTTCCCCGACGCCTGCAAGCGACGAGACGTTTGCAACCGCCGCGCCGCCTCGGTAACGGCCGCGTCGCAGCGGGACGACAGCATGGTGGGTTATTCATGGCAAATCTTGGATACACTGCAAAAAAAAACTTAGTATAAGTATTATATATATATGTTATAATGAATAGATGATATAATATACCAACACATGATGTGTGTGTAAATGTATATATATATATATACAAAACACATCATAAAAATATAAAATATGTATATATATATATAAAACTATATATATATCTTTTGTACCAAAGGATTGAAGTTACTAAATCGACACTATCCATGCAAGGCCCCTGTTGAACATGATCCCGGAAACTTTCGCCACTGAATTGCCCCCTTGGCGGATCTTGGAGCATCAAACTTAGGGTTACAATCAAATCTGGTTGGTGGTTTCAACCCCTCTGAAAAATATGAGTTCGTCACTTGGGAGTATTATTCACAATATATGGAAAAATAAGAAATTTCCAAAACACCAGCCAGATCAAATCATTGCCAATCTCAGATAACAACTGCGTTTTTCCCATCAACATGCCAAAAAATAAAAGATAGCAACCCTCAAGAGGGAACAGTAAAGTAGTTCTTCACTAATCTTAGTCCAGAAATTTACTTATCGATCTTTCTGGGGGCTGCTATATGATGACGGCAACTAAAGTCGCCATTCATTCGATCTCGTCCTCAGGGCCCCCATCCGTGGAATCATAAACTTGAATGGAGAACACGGTGACGTCCTGAAGCAGAGCTTCCGAGCCAGGGAGCACGAGGGAGCTAGGGGATCTGGGATTTTCCTGAAGTTCTACCAGGGAACATGAGCGTTTTAGCTGGGGAAAACATTTTCGCCTGGTAAACCAAGAAAAAGGTGGATTTTTTGGGGGGCAGTCAACTCAAAATTGATAAACTTGCAGGATTCAAGCTGAAACATAGCATTTGAGCAGTTTAATGAGGTTCACCAGAATTGGATTTCACAAACAGAAACTTCGGGAATTCCACACTCCAAGAAGGGATGTCGCCAGGTACATGTGCAGTTGATCAACTCTCCCCTTCTAGAGATTCTAGATCTATTACAGAAAAAGCATCTGGCTGACTGAGTTGTAATCAGAATACTAAATAAATAAATAAATATAGATAGATAGATCGATAGATTATATTGCATAAATTATCAATATGGAGTAAGAAGACATGGGATGGTTCATCGCAGTGACGTCGCTGTCAGGTTGTGATGATCATCTCATTTGGGTTCCATCCTGTGTCCTTTTATAAATTTCATCCTTCTTGTGGTAAAATCGAAGGATTGAAACCTATGGGTGTACCTGGAAAAAGGATATTATCCCCCCAAAGTTGCATTACTTAATAATTAAGGAAAATGATGCTTACTCAGTGGATGGAACGGGTTATCCTATTTTCAAACAATCCCACGTTGCAACCAGTAATGCCAATAGCATCACCCACCAAAGTGATAGGTTTAGCAATGATATTTCCTTACTATCTGCCAATAAATAGTAGATCTCTCTGTGAACCCGAAGTTTCACGTCGCCAAGGGATACTTGTGGGCATAGGCCAACCTCACCACATTGATTTGTCGTGTTTACCATCTGGTTATTTAACATAGCCATGGAAAATCCCTTATAAATGGAAGTTTTAATGGGAACATCATCTATGAATGGGCCATTTTCCATGGCTATGTAAAATATTGTAAAATAACCAGAGGGTAGTACTTCTGAAATTGTGGACTTAAAATTGCCATAAACTCTCAGTTTCGCACATTGAAAACTGTATATATATATATATCTACACTGATTGACCGAATCCGTTGTTTCTGAGTAACACCACCATTTTTTTGGGACGAACAAAATCTGGTTGGTGGTATACCTACCCCTCTGAAAAATACTAGTCAGTTGGGATTATTATTCCCAATAGATGGACAAATAAAAGCCATGTTCCAAACCACCAACCAGAAATCCATCGACACCTCTCCGATCTTCTCTGATCTTCTCCGTTCTTCGCACGCGCCTCAGGAGGAACCCCCAGGCTTTCCGAGAGCGTCAACTCGTAGGCGCGCTTCGTGGCAGGCAGCTCCATCACCGCCTTTTGGATGATTTATGGCATCAAAATCATGGGGAAATATCTTGGGTCTGATAGCTTTTGTTCAATTTTATGGATCTTTTATAGCTACTGCTATAGTTGTTGTATCTGTTACTTTTTCTGTGTTCGTTTGATGTCTTGAAGATGTTGACACGCGCATGTGGCAAGCTCTTATTATGTTTGCTGTTGAGTCTTGAAAGAGATGGACGGTAAGTCTTTTGGATTTGGAGAACCGAGTTGAAAGTGGAAAGCCTCCAGCAGTTTCCACCTCCAGGTTGATAGCCACGTTTACACCGAGAAATATCAGTTTTGGTTTTGCCCCGTCTCACCCTCCAACAATATGAATTACAACTGCATCAAACAAATCGTGATATCGCCCAAAAAAAAGGATGACCATCTGGGGAACACATATTACTAAATTCTCGCAAATTGGACCTAGACACCTGAGTTTACCTCGTTTTCAAGTCATATTTCCATTCAAAACCCATTACAATCATCATTTTCCATAAATCATCCCATTTTCCCGATATTTCCACCATGTCCAGGTGAGTTTCCCCTTAGTTTTTCCCAACGTTTCCCCCATTCACCGCAGGGCCTGCATCTCATCCACCGTGGCTTCGACCGCCGGCAGATTGAAGGCAACCGCGGATTCCACCACCTGTCTGGCCTGGCGAAGTCTCCAGAAACCTGGGGGAAAACATGGGGAAACTCCCGTGGCAAACTGTGAAAATCCATGGGAAAAATCACGGGAAAACATGAAGATCATGGGAAAACCATGGGGAAAAACTATGGCAACATATGAAACTCATGGGAAAACCATGGGGAAAACACATGGGCAACATGCATGTTTCATGGAAAAAGTGAAGAAACACATGGGGAAAATAGATGAAAATAGGCGAACTAACTAACATACGTCTCCTATACTTGAAATAAGATCCCACCTGCGAAGAATCATCTAGTAGGTTGCCGCGAGGTTAACTAATTTTCCCAGACTCAGATAAACCATGGCGACTGTTTCCGATTCAGGTATATAATGTGATGAAATTTTCCCAGATCATATGTACCGTGCGCAGTTGTGCGTCTAACAATTTTCAAAACTGATGTGGACCTGGGTTGATGTTGGATGGTTTTATTGCAAACTTAGTGCATGGTGGGTATACCTATGGACCTATGGTTGGATGAATTTACAGTTCAACTTATGACTGGTTTTCATGGCCACGGTTGTGACATCCCACAGCTGAGGGATGGGAGGGGGCGGTAGAGCACATGGGTATATAGCTAATGCTTGCATACTGCTGCAGCAAAACAAACATCAAGTTTTCACCTGCAAACAGTTGAGGACATAAGGCGACAATGGTGATTTAAGCAAGAAACAGGGCGGTACTAGGATGATCAGCCCAAGTACTCCATGCAAAATAACCAGCTGACGGCTGCTTGAATGGGCTGTTAACGGACCAATGGGGACATAGCCAACTATGACGTGTAAAACAGTTGGCAAAATTTGGATTTTGCAACAAATGACTCACTTGGCAACTATCTGTAAGCTGCGGTGAGTACCCACTTAACTCGGGCCTTACAACTCCAT